CATCTTTCATTTGGGATAAAAATTACGCAGAACTGCCAAAAAAGGAACACAATAAAAAAAAATAAAATTGTCAGAGGGTCCATGTGCCCAGATAACATGAGAACAACATTGGCACAGAGACAGTCATGACTGTGAAAAATCAAAGCATCCTTAAGAGTCTGAGGGCCATGCTCCACGTGCAGGGAAACAGGAAAATTACCAACAGTTAGGAATATGTACTTTCTCAACAAGACAGCCTTAGATATTTTGTTTATAAAAGTAATTAATGAAGCAACTCTGCGCTAGAATAATATTCAGAAAAATAATCAGTAATAATCCCCAACTTCTGTGTAAGAGGAGTTGTGCTAGTATTGACAAACAACTGTACTATCCAGCCCAAAAAAATTAATAGCAACCAAGTTGTCAGAAAACTGCAAACAGGGACTGTGCTTTAACATTAATTCTTCTAAAATCCATGCAGCATTTTGGGATCAGACTAAACTTTTTACTTTACTGTAAACAAACTGATTTGTACTATTTATTCATGTAAAATATAAAATTTCAAATGTTTACTAACTAACCTGTATTTTAAAGATGGGAGCCGATTATGGTTACACAGAAAATATTGAAAATAATGAGAAAAAAAAATCAGTACAGAGTTATAGAACTTGTTTAAGTATTTTTTTACCTGGGTTGGTTTTAATATTAGAAGTACTTTAAACACTGATTTCAGACTCTATCATTTTAACTATTACCAACAGGTTTATAAACCTTCATTTTTCTTTCTGAAACACTGCCAGAAATAGTACTCATGAGATTTAATTCTAATTGGTTTAACAAGAGAAAGCTGATTAGGTTAACTAAGTTCTGCTCTGAGCAGCTGCCAAACAGCGGTGAAATCCCTCAGTTTCAGTATCTTCTGCTGATGAAAGCTTTCGATACTAGAGAATGTGATGAAGGAATAAACTGAACTCAGAAGTGTTCTGAATGTAATTATTTTTCTGGCTTTGCTTCAAATACCTAAAGAAAAATGTAATTGTTATAACAATTGCTTTATTTTAATTATCACCTAGCAATCGTTCAAACAAATTAGCATGGTAACTCAGAACAGAACTTTTCATAGAAGTATTATTACCAAACTGCATACATAGAAAATGAAAATCAGAGAAATCCTGCACACTGATATCTGTATAACATGTTAAAATCTCATCTTCTTCTTTTCCCTTCCAAATAACACTTCTAATACCAACAGTCAGATAATATCAGAATGGGGGAAAAAAAGTACTGACAAAAGGTAGAGAAGTAATAGCTGTTCAACAGCAACCACCGTCAGTATTCAGATAATATAAAACTACTCGCTATCTGTAAAATTGTATGATACTGCTTGAAAAAAAATTGAAGACAAATATGGATTCCTTCCTTGAAATTATTTCTATTCTACATTCTCAGTCATCATTCTACTATAAGAATAATACTTACTGTAATTGATCAATACTTTACTACCTCTAGTTATTCAAAGCCCCTGGAGACTTCAGTAGTCTCACAAATATTAGTTGCAAATGAAAATATAAACGTCTCAACATTAACATATTGCTTTCTTTCCCCCATCACACAATTATTTCTTCACATTACAATGGTATATCAAGCATTTCCTTCACCATACACACAAGTACTACTTAGATTACTAGAAGCTTCGTGGGTAACTGACAGGAGAAAGTTTCTTTAAAAAAAAAAAAAAAAGAATGTGAGAATAGCTGCAGGATCAAGTATGTCTTCAAAAGACTGAACAATCACACAACGTAACACACTTCAGAACTATGATCACACTTCAGACACTTGTTTCATTTCTACTGATTAAATTAGAAAAGAGGTTTTATAATAAACATTATGCTCATGTCTTTCTACAGAAATTACATTCTTCATACTCTACAATTTAATAATGGAAAAAACCGACTGTTTTAACAGTATAAACTAAAAGACAAAATGTATTTTAATAAGTGTGCTCCTTCTTCCACTCAGCAACCTACTATGAACGTGCTGTTTTAACCTGCTGGATATTCCCAGAGAAAAAGATGCTTACTTGGAGATGCCCCCAAAACAAAGCCTAAGCCAAACCCTCTTTAAATATTCCTCTGAAAATTTCATAGGATCATAAAGTCATTGGTTGGAAGGGACACAGAACTCATCTAGACCAACATGAAATCTCACTTGAAGCCAAATAGAATAGCCAAGAACAATTCAAGTAAACCATAACCTCATCTAGCAAAGTCTCAAAAGCCTCCAAGAACAGAGATACCGTAAATTCTTTTGAGTATCCTGCTCTGGTGCTTCACTGCACCAGGAAAGGTTTCTTCTTTCTGTCTACGCTGAGCCTACCCAGATGCGACCTGTGGACCTTACTGTAGCTGCCAATTATTGTGATTTGTCATGGATTATCAAGAGCAGTCTTGCAATCATAACATTATGGGTAACATTTGACCTCAGTCCACATTTGGGGCAGGGGACACTGAGCCTAACCTAGAAAAATTAGACTTCCAGCTTGCTAAAAAAGCATTAGTAAATTCATTTAAATGTCATTCATAATTCCCAGTAACTTTTAATTGTTAGATTTATCCTCTCAGTAAAATACCTGAGAGCTAACACTAAAACTTGCATATTCTGAGCAACTGCTAATCAAAGCACACCTTAAAGCATACACATCCTTAATCCTCCTCCCATTCACAGTTTTTCGCCTCCATCCAAGAACTGTGCAGTTCAACTGGAACACCAAACACCCCAAGGGCTGTCTAAAAAACCCAGACAACAAAAACCAATCCCTCAACAATAATAATTTCATAACTAGACCAAACAAAATAGAACAAGGAAGGACAGCATTATAGCAATAAAATACCTACACTACAGAGAAGAGTAAGATCGAGGCTTTATGGTCTTAAATTTAGAATATGAAGATATTGCACTTCAGCAACTTCATTATTCTTCACAGTACATATGGGAGATGTCAAAGACATTTTGCAGAGGTACTCAGCAGATGCCTGGAGAGCAGCTTGATCAAATGGTTACAGGACAAATTAATTTTTCAGAAGTTCAGCCGTATGGGAAGGGGATCACGCTATAATAAAAGCTGTTACAAAACTTGCCTTTGAATCAGTAAAAGACATCAATTTGCATACATCAGTGAAGACCTGGTCCACAGAGTGTTTCGCTATTTATCATTTATTAGAAGTGTTTTGAACTGTACTAAGACAGAATACCAAAACTGTGTAGAGACTTAAAATATCTGCATCTTCTAACACAAGCAATAATTTGCAGTTGTTATTCATGGACTTCTTATTATACAATACCTTCTTTAAAAAGAAAGTCTCTTTCAATAAAAGACAAGAATTAACTTCTAATTCTGAAAACTAACACACACTGTATGTAAACTTACAGTGTAAGTTTTAAGTGCCAGGAGTACAGCATACTTAATACTGAAACTGAAGCGACAAGTTTGGAGTCCATAATCACTGAAGACAGACATACATCATTCATGACTAGCCCTGATTAGTTATAATCACTTCTTGAATTTTTTTTTTTTTTTTGAGAGCTCTCTTAGTAGATAGCTACAGCAGGAGCATAACAAAATATAGAAAATGTTTTAGTGTACCCAGGGCTTTCCTCAATAATATCTAAATACATCTTTTGATGAATGTTCCTCTTCCATTTTTTCTGATTTATGAGAACAAGAGAAATTTTCTACTGGCTTCCTCCAGTGAAGCACAGTATCAATGTGCACACAAGGAAAGATAAATAGGGGCAATATCTGTTTCTGATGACCAAAGTCTACTTCTTAAATTAGGACCAAGCTCTATACTTTCTCCTGCGACAGCTCAACGATCTGTTAGATTGGCTCAGTCCATCTCATAAAGCCTCACCTTTAGCTGCAAACAACAGGAGACACAGGGGTTTCAGTGTTCCTTTTGTGAATCTGTACTAGGTGAGGTGCAGAAGGAAGTATATGATTCTCTAAGTGAACGCTCCTTTAGTCTGGCATTTGACAATTTTACAGACAAAGAAGGAAGAAAAAGCCCAACAAACTAATAAAACAGATTATGTAATAACAACTTGGAGTTTTAAGTTCTCATACTGGTACTAAAACCCTACAAAAGCCCTGAAAAAAACATACCTAAACTAATTGCTTTGCCAGTGACATGTAATTATATTTATAGCCTGTATATGTTCACATACACGCCTGTATGTGAACTAAGAAAAATTATTTCATTCTGAAATGGGAACACGGACTCATTTGGCAACATCAAAGACTGGAAGAAACACGTGTAATATTTGCAAGCCCATGATCATCATAATTATCAACGATATTTTAAAAATCCTAAGATATCCAAGCTATAGCCATTTTTACGATTTAAAAAAAATCAGAAGTCAAAAAGAAAAGAAAACAACAATAATGCTAGAAAAAGCATGTTGTCAGATTACAGATTTGACCCTTCAAGATAGACAGCATGCGAGCAATTCCCCTGAAGCAAACTTGACCACTCTAATAGTAAAATGCTAAGAACATTCCTAACAATCTCACCAGAGAGGGGTTAGAACGCCCAGTTACTTGTGGCATCTGAAGAACCTGGAAAAGAACTTGCACACTAGGCTATCCTCCACAGCGTCCAGCATCTTCATCCCACCATGGTGGGGATGAGAAAATCCAGACTCATGATTCAACACCTTCTTAAATCAGGATATTCCTAAACATTTTTCTGAATCTAATCTACTGCACATGCCTCAAGGGTCTGAACTGTTCTGAACACAATCTTCGGAATTATATACGTGCAGCTGCACATAATTACTGGAATTTGAATACTCAAATAGCTAAGCATCTATGTGGTTATTTCAGCATGCATATGATGATGAAATTATGCTTCACATTTTCCCAAAATACATCTTACTCTTTAAAGAACCTTAATTTAGTTCAAACAGTATTTTAATACATTATTATTTTTAACTCATCCCATGAATTCTTTTTATTCGTATCACATTTATTTGCTTTGACTGAAAGAGCTACATTTGCTCACCTACCTTGAATGCAGCTCTGGACTGCCATTGTTGTATTTACTTCCCCTTTCCCAGACACCGAAATCTGGCACACGATAGGCTCTTTCCACACAAAACACAAGATTTTGAATGAAGGACACCTATAGGAAAGACAGACAGAAAGACAAAGTGACTTAAGGAAAATGCAAGCACATTTTCTTATGCTCATTTTTCAAAAAGATAAAATTGTTTCTCCTCAGCCATCGAAATTGTGCCTTCCATCCTTCCCTCCTCTCCTCCCCGAGAATGATGTGCCCAAGTTCAGATAATCTCTTTAAAATCAATTTTTAATCACAAAATATTAAGAGCTGTCCCAAATTAGGTGATGATGTGATTTATGCAACAGTTCCTGCAAAGCCAGGGATAAAAATTATTTCATATTCAAGACACGTATCTGAAGAGCTCCAAAAAGGTGACATTTTGATCTTTAAAAAAAATTTGTCCTAACAACAACATCGAGGAGCAAAAGAAATTAAATCCTACAAGATTAGGACACGGAAATCTTGGTGGTTTCTTAATTTATTTTAAGAGAATTGATATGCCAAAGTTTTATTATATTAGCTCCAGATGATACATACTTATGCAGATTCAAACACACTCCTTTATAAACACAAATAAAATACTGAATCAATTTATTATAATTAAAATCTCCTCTTGGATCAAGATGTTTCAACTGAATACTGAGGTATTTAAGGGTATTCTAAGGTATTTAAGGTGTATTTAACTAGAGCTGGGGACTTACTTAAGCAGATACTTTTTTCCTCATTTACACTGCTGAAAGAGACATTTGGAGTTGCTCAATTGTAGAAAAGTTAAATTTATGATAAATTTTAAAGTTCACTTCAAAGAGTTCACAGATTAGAAATTACAGAAAATTTAACGACAAACACAAGATTTACACTGGTTCATCTACCAAAGCAGGTATTTCATCCCCTGCCATCCAAATTATTCTAGGGGATTCTGTGGGAAAAGAGAATATTGCAATGGCTATAAACACAACCGCATTGGGGAACTACAAAGGAGGATCCACTTTACTACAGTCAATTGATTATTTTTTTTAAATGAGCTATGAGATAAAAAACAAATCTTTTACTGAAAGGTATTTGCTTCCATTTTAATTTACCTGGATACATCTGTTCTGTCTTTTTCTCTCTATTTTTCTTTAAATCTTAAAAAGTTACTATTTCAGATACACTCTTTATGCTAATAACAGTCCACCAGCAATATATACAATTCTATACTTACTTGTCTCTCTATATATTATATGTTTCTGCTAAAATTGCACTGTGGGGTGCACATGTACAATTATCTGTACACTAGGGTTTTTTCATAGCTAGTACTTTCAAGGAAACAGACTGTCCCACTCTTTAGATGGCCCAATATTATTCATCCCTGTAATTTAGCATTTGGTTCTATTAAAATGAACTTTCTCTGAATGAAGTTAGAACATCCAGTGATTAAGAGCGTAGCTTCTCCTATCTCTATCACCAACTGAAATTTAGATGCATCAGCTAAATGAAGAGGCAAAGAGCACCATGTAGAAATATATAACCTTACTGATGACTTTCCACCAGTGATGATGTTCAGAACACGAGAAAAAAAAATGGTCAATTACAGACATTTTATGAGACTAAGGGTTTCCAAATAGCAAATTGACACAAAAAAGGCAGCAGATAACTGGTTACAAATCAAAATCTTCAGACAGTAATCATTCATATCATGAGCACGTAAATACTGTAAAAAAGTCAATGCTAAAGCACTTAGAGAAATTATGGATTGTGTGTGTTAAGCTTATTTATCCAGAAGTCAAGCATGTGGAGAGCAAGGCATAATAAAGAATACACGTGTAGCATGGATGACTGCAAATACTAGTGTTTTACGTGTAGATAACTGCTCTCAAATTCACTCACTTGCACAATCAGGTACTGTTCTCTTTGTTATGGATGCAGAGATGCAATTAAATGAATTCTTGAACTGCAAACAGATGCAACTCGAGGGTAACTCACTGACAACTGCCATGCCTGACATCAAGCAGCCTAGTATACAATGACTGCCTCTGAAGCCAAGAGTTCTGTGTACAAACACATTCATGCAGACAGCTTGCCAAATATCAACCATCTGCCAGCACCTTCCACTGTGTTAGCACTGGTTCAAAACCCTCTCTGTAAGAGACTAAATACAACGTGCAATGATACCATTGGGAAGAAATATCTAACTTGATGTTTGGGTAGCAGATTGCCACTCCCACAGTGCTGTCAATGCCACTACGCTGAATATTATCTAGACACAGAGGAAAACTTGGAAATAACATAATTATGAGGCATTAATAAGATCTGAGAATATATTCAATTGTTGAAGCTATACAGAGAGTAATAGAATGAACAAGTCTGTGGTAACATAATCTTAGTATAAATCTCCATAGTCCACAGATTTCTAGGGTATGGTTGCAATGAAAACTACATCCTGACATTGAAGTGGAGAACATCCACTGACTGGAGAGTCTATACAGATGTACTTTTTCTGCAAATTCTGTAATTAAATGCAAACATCTGGAGCATAATATAAATTATAAATCAAGCTAAGTAAATACATAATTATATACATTTTCCTCCTCACAGACATAAAGGCAAATCTGAGAAAATAATATAGACCTATCACATGATCTAATTAAGCAAGAAAGGAGACAAGTTGCATGACTTAGGTTTCTCATTATCTTAAAAAAAAAAAACAAACCCACATTAATGAAGATGTATGTTTTAGAAATAGAATGCAAATACACTATTACTGGAAAAATGTCGCTTTTTTTAAAATGGTAGTACTAGAAGTGCATTTAAGCTTTTTAAGGCAATACAGCAGCAACTATTAAACAGACCAGAGTAAGTTTAAGCAAATCCAGATTAAGAAAATTGGAAAACAAATATATGTATCTTGCTTTCCATTCCTGTCTCAAAACACGACCTCATTTTAGAGCAGGAGCAGGTTGACCTGACATGACTTGTCCTCAAGTCAAGGCCATGGTGTCTATCATTATCTTATTTACCCAACAGTTACAAATCTTACAAACATCTCTTACCATGACATAAAATTGTTTTATTTTCCATTAAAGATACAGCAAAACTTCTTAACATCCATAGATTCATATGTATTTGAAGAAAGTCCTTCAGCTTTCCAGATAATTAACGCTATGATTTGTTATATTGAAATTCCATTGGACAGAATGCATTGACTGACATTTTGATATAAGGGGGAAAGCGAGAACAATGTAACTAGAAGTTAACCGTCCTAACAGACATTTTAATTCTTGACCTTGCACCTTTCAGAAATAGCAGAGAACTATAAAAGTTTTCAATGTCATGCTACATTTACTCTTTGCATATGTAACACTGTTAGCTATTAATTTATTTCACTATTCATTCATTCCATTTATCTTCTCTGACTTCCATTAAAAGCGGAGAATAACTGCAGTGTATTTCCAGAACAATTATTTTACAGTCGGCAATTAAATAAAACCAAGAAAAAAACCCAAACAACTTAAAGCATGTTTTTAACATCAAAAATCGATTGGTACCTCATCTGTGTTGTAGATAATCTGCAGCCCCGAAGAGATCATCTCAACCAAATAGAGGAGAAATAACGACACAGCATTTATCTGAAGTAATTAAAAACAGAAATGAAACTATAATTAACTTCATGTTTATTGGAGTCACATAAAAAAAACAAGCTAAATGTGATATTACTCACTAACAGAGACGGTCCCACTATAACACAGTTTTGGTTCTTCAAAAATATTATCCCAATCTACCAATATCCTGGATGTAATGATGTGGAAATAATCAATAGGAAGAAATGCCACAAATAAGCATTGTCCTCTAAAATGTCTGCTGCAGTATCATTTTTTAAATTATTTGAAACTGTAATATTAAAATGTTTTTGCTTGGGCATACTGTTTTAACCCATAGGCAATCATTTTAGTCACAAGCTGTTTCACGTTTACATATATGACAATTTATTAGCAAGCAGAACACCAAGAAGGCAAGCAGCACATTGAATAGTACACAGCACATCTAAAAACAAATCACTTTACCTCTAACTGGAATTTTAGCATTATCAACTGACAGAAGTATAATTACAACATTCAGATATGGTTATATTTGTGAAAAACTGTTTTCTTTTGTAGCTGTACATAGCTTTTATTATTAATAGTAACTACCTTCAGCAGCTGTACAGATGAGCATCATAATGTCAATTTATTAATGATTCAAATAGAACTGCTTTTCTAACAGAATTCTAGTATAATTGAGAATTCGTACAACTTCAATAGAGAAAGTAAGTTTCCCATAACAACTTGCTTCGATGAGCTATAAAACCACAATCTCAGTATATGAAATTTAGAGAAACCATCCAGAACAAAAAATTAGATTCCTATCCGAAACACAGCACATTAAGGTCCAAATTTTAAAAATTCCAAAAGATTTAAAGACCACTGACTCCAGTTTCTTAATACAGTCTGAAAAGCACCAAGTACAGCAATAACAGCAGACCAGCTACATAATATATTCCATTCTTCCAAACTGAACCACCTCAATTACTCTGCTTTCTGTTGTCTCCACAGAGCTGAAACCCCTCTATTTTATGAGATTTGCTGATGATGGAAGGGAATATGCATTCATGCTTATGGGAAGGGTTGAGCTGCCAGAAAAAACAGAGACTTTGAACTATCACACAGTGCTGCCCAGGTCCCAAAATTATTGTCTCCTCCTGCAGATAAAAGATGTGCATTTTCAGGAAGCTTCACACAGAAGTCCAAAATGCTAACTCAGTATAACTCCACAAATCATTTTTCTCAGAACATGTATTTTCTGAATCCAATACATTTACTGTACAAACTATGTAAGTGATATTGTCACCATGAAATTATATAATTATCAATCTACTGTCACTTCTGAATAATTTCACTAGCAATTTCTGAACTAAAAGGAGTATGTAAAGTTATGGAATGCAAAAGAACGAGGTCATGAATGCAAAAAAGGGTCTGAAGGTAAAGAGGAGGGGGGGAAAAAAAAAAAGAGTAAATCAACACTTTGGAAAATGAAAGACAATAAAACAATCATGCAATGAATCTGACTAGGAACCACTACACAAAATAGTGAACAACAATTTGTAACTAGACAAAGCTGTTGACAGTGTACATTAAATCTTTACTATGAATGAAAATTGCTCAGACTTATGGAAAATTAAGCTGGGAATGTTAATAAAAACATATAATATTCAACATAAGATTACACTAAATCTTTCACTTTACTGACCACTTCAACATTTTTTTGCCAGGATTATTTACTGACAGCCATCTGTTGGTCTCAAAAAGAAGAAACTTCATAAACAAGCAACCATCTACCTCCACAAATCCCAGTTAGTTCAGTACCTTCTGACCAAAACATACCACTGAGTTACAAAAGATGTAGAAGGTATCTCAATTTTATCAAGTACAACATGTCTAACACTAATCTAAAACTGAGACAGCTGCATCATGAAAGAATGGAAACAACAATAACATTATTTGAAATCATGCAAACTTTCATTTACATGTACATGCATATTTTACCTGAAGGTGACCATATTCCTTATGGGAGAAGACCTCATCTCCAGTGTGTGCACTGAAAATCAGTACCTCCTGACCAAAACATACCACTGAGTTACATTTCAAAACAGTCCGTCTTTTTCACTAAAAGATGTAGAAGGTATCTCAATTTTATCAAGTACAACATGTCTAACACTAATCTAAAACTGAGACAGCTGCATCATGAAAGAATGGAAACAACAATAACATTATTTGAAATCATGCAAACTTTCATTTACATGTACATGCATATTTTACCTGAAGGTGACCATATTCCTTATGGGAGAAGACCTCATCTCCAGTGTGTGCACTGAAAACAGAATGAAGACATTCAGATGGTTTGGGATCTTGCTTAAATTGCTGAACCTAAAAGTGAATTAAAGGCAAAATATAAATTCAAAGTCGATAATTTCATATGACCATTATGTAAAATTCATAAACAATAGTTCCTGAAACTTATCAGAAACTACTTTGTACATACTTAAAGTATACATAAAGAATACAAATATTCAACCCATCTATCTAATCTCTTTGGGTTTGATAGGAAGAAAAATATCTGTAATAGATAGCTACAGATGCCTAGTCATTTTCACTTTCTGGACAAACATCACCTCATTTTATTGGAGCTGAAATCTTTGCAGAAAGTACGTCAAAGTACATCACGCCTACCTTGAATTCACAGATCTGAAATGTACATATAGAATGCCGACTCATAAGCTCTCACCTGACTCACTACCTTTCCCTAGCAAAGTACCATCAATTCCAGCTACACTCTCACATATGGGGCAACTCCCCTCCTCACCTTCCTGGCCTGTCCTAAAGAGCCTGCATCCATCCATCACAGTGTTCCAGTCACTTGAGCTATCCTATCGCATCTCTGCGATACCATGAGATCACAGCCCTGGTGCTGCATACATACTTCTAATTCCTCCTTTTTATTCCCCAGGCTGCATCCATTAGTGTACAGGCATTTCCGAGAGGCACCCAAGCACACTGATTTCCCAGAAAGGGTACAAAAGCTTTCTTCTCCATAATGCTGTCCCATAGGTATCTCCTTATTTCCACATGTACACTTGGGACAATTCCACTTCAGTTAACACTATCTGCTTTCTGTTCACGTCACCCCAGGCCCTTTGCTTGCCCACCCCACGCACCACTTCCGCACTTGATTGCTGAGCACTCTCCCCCTCACTATTCCTAGCTTAAAACGCTTACTAGAATACCAGAGCCCAAAACTTCAGTTGGGAACAACAGTTTTAATAATTTTTATGAATCATGGTCCATAAAATTTAATAATTATTGTTGCACCATCTGACAACATGACAAAGGTTTTAAAACAAAAAATAAATTATTATTGTTATTAATAATAACAATTTTTAAGCCTTCCAGATTATAGACCTACAAAAGTGTTCAGAAATGGCCACATGTGGATCATGTAATAAATGATAACCTGCAAGAGCTAAGACTATCTCATATAAAAGAGTACATGGGAAAACACAGATTTATTTTGGTGAGCACAGTTTGTGACATTCAGGTGTGCAGTGAAACATTTACAGATACTAGAAAGTAAATCTGATAGATTAAAAAGGAAACATAAAGATCATAGACAGGAAGAACAGTACCCCAGATTAAAATTACTTTATTCATGGACCTCAGAATGATACAGAATCTTTTACGATAGAGACGGAATGCAGTAAGATGAATTACTAATACAAGAGGTTAACAACAAAGGAGTGAAATAAGAACTACCATGTTTTCGAAGTAGTTTTGATTCCTTTTTTGTTGCAAAATATGATGTCTGCTACCTTACAAAACCATTAGAGAAAACAATCTGGACCGTCAGAGAGCTGCCAATAGGACACAGAAAGGAAATCCGATTCACAAAGAAAAGAATGAAGGTAACAAAAGATCCGTCTCTGTAATTCCTCAGGTAATACTATGCTCTCCAACAAACAAGTTTTCAAATTTTCTAACCATCATTGCCACTATCTGGTCCACATTTCACAACATTTAACATTGGTCTTATCTTCATGGGATATTCTTCTCTACCAGCAAACCATACATAGCATATAGCATGTGGCCCAGAAGCAAGAAAGTTAATACTATTTTGCGGAGTTATCATGTCTAGTCCATGAACACATTCAATGCATTTTAGGTCATAATTCATATGTTCATTAGCAACAGAATATAACATCTGCAATTTTTGTCACAACTAGCATCATCTATTCAAGTCACACTTTGGACATATATAATTCATATTATTAAAAAAATATCTTCCTTCTACCTGTGGCCAGAACATACAGGTCTCAGAATAAAGTCCAGTTTGATTTTTGCCTGTTAGGAACTGGTTAGGCTGTTTACTACTACACTGTAGGAAGAGAGAAGCATTTATAGTAATCAAGGCAAAAACTGACAATCAGTATGTCAGCAGTGTGACACTTGTGTTAATTTACTGCTCATTATTCCTATCTGCACTCATCATCCTCAGAACAAACCAGTGCATGTCAAAGAAAAACAACAGCTCAAATGTAACAGGATTGATTTAGGTCAAGATTCTTTAAAGGTATGAGACTACAAAGAAACAGACTAAGAAAACTGAGAAAAAAAAATCATGTCAGCATAAATACAAGAGACAATACACCTGATTTGCTTGTTATTATTATTACTGATATCACATGTCTACGGACTTTACATTTCAGTTTGTGTGCTTAGAAGTGATGGAAGGTATGTAGTAAAATGAAAATTATTAAAAATAATATAGTTAAAAGCCAGTGACATGGAAGTATTTAATCTCATGGAATATAGATATTTAACTAACTGTAGAATTGCTGCTAACCACTATGCAAAATTAATCCACGACATCTAAATTTTAATAAGAAGAAGCCCTGAATATTCAGGGTACACTCAGAAGATTACAGGCTGACTAAATCAGCTGTATTATAACATAAGTAAATGACTCTTTTTTTCCTTATTCATTTTGGCTTGCTGCCCTTCTGAATTTACATCATTAGGTCAAAGAATACTGGAAAGCGGCTGCTAAGGAAATCACGCAAAATAATAAAAACTATCACCTAGGTAAGGAGAACAACTGCAAATGCAATAACCAAGAGAAGAATGCACAGTAAACTCTCCATCCTTAGCTAAAAGCAATTCTACATCTTTCCTTTTAAGCACTAAAAAGACATAAAATAACCCCCAATTACGAATGATCTAATATTTAAATGGGATAAATGACCACAAAAGGAAGTCAAAGAAGTTTCAAGTATACCCTGCAGTTTACTTCGCAAACTGCTTGTGTCTTCTATACCCTAAAACAATGCTGCAACCTGACAGTAACAAAGCAGCTTTTCTTAGCTGGGCCACACAGTAATACTGCATTCCCTTTTGAATTTTAATCTATATTTAGAAGTTAGTTTTCATAATTTAATTAATCCCTTAGAACTGAGTGCTTGTGTCCACACTACAGTGTTTTACCTTATCAGCCTGACGCATGTAGCAGTAAAGAATTCCTCTCATACACTTTATAGCAGAATGCTCCAGTTCATGAGTCCTTCCCTTGTCATCATCAATTCGCCTGGGAAAGAGAGATAACTCATAAAACAAATTGGAAATGCATTAGGGGGGGAAAAAAAGAAAAAAGAACACAGCGTTTTGGAATATTAAGTATTTCAGAACATGGTTGTATAGTGGTGCCCACTCTTGTATCAACATATTTATAGTCCTACCCATACTTTCTTAATAAAAATAATGTTTTTTAATTTACGTTGCAATTTACACAAACATTCCTACTTCAAAAGTTGAAAAGAAAAAAAAAATCCTTGCTAATATTATAACATTTAAGCCACTGTTCTGTGTTTCTTGAGAGATCCAAAACACAAAGGCAATTTCTCTAACTCTACAAAACATCTGCCATTCACAATCAAGCAGTCAGGTTCCTGATGATGTTGATGAACTACAGCTGGCATAAAAGAGTCTTAAAGTTCACTATTCTGAACATCCAGAAATGTGTTTCAAGATACCTTAATATTTTTATACCATGATATCAAACAACACTCACAATTACTATAACTAAATGTGTATCAAAACCAATGCCAAATCCCAAGTTATTTTAACTATAAGAAATGTATTGCCTGTGAACAACCTTGATCATTGCATTCACATGTTCTGTCTTTTCCAGTTCTCAATTTTTGATAGAGCCTTTCAGGGTGAAATATAACGTTTTCTTACATATTTGTAACAACAACATGTCTCTGATACAAATATATAAAACAGCATAATATGCTCACTGCAATTTCTCAGTCCAATTTATAGCTGTTACTAATTTGATCACCAGTAAGTGGATGATAACTACACTGCAAACAAACCATATCCTTTTCCATCATACTTAACATGTTAGTAGTTTATGCTGAGGTTCTGCTACCTACAGTGAAAATTAGGAAGGTAGTGATAACTACAAAAATCATACACATCCAGAAATCATGCTATTTAAATAATAATCTTAGAAACAAAAAGTGTACTTGTTTTCAGTTACAAAGTTGAAACAAGGGAGGGAAAAGCAACCCAAGGAATAAAACCAGATAATGCAAAATTAATAGGTTAAGATTTTTTTTACGCAGTAGGATTTATTCTTAACTTTATCATAAATCCAAAGAGCAATAAGAAGCACATGTAAAAGCACAGAAGTTTTCATGTTACAACATTTTTCCTCTATTCACAACAGCAGTGTTTGTTTTCTTAACATGCTCTCAAGAAATTTAGCTTTTATGAAAGTGAACAGCAGCACTGGCATGAGTCAAGCACAGTAATCTGCATGTGGTAGATAACATAGACTTCCACATGAGTCTTCTATCTTGGCTCATTTCAGATTTTAGCTGTTCACTTAATTTCAATCATCAACCTTTGCATTTATTGCGCAGCACCTGAAGTTCAAGGCCCCGCTCTGAGCACAACTGGAAGTAACACGAATTATTTATCTTGCCACTTCACCCTTCCTTCAAACTGCAACAAATTTCATATATCATCTTCTATGATTCTACACATTGGAAATCAAAGACTGAATAACTTGGGCAACATTATGCCATGCTCTCTTCTATAAGTTGCTGAAAATTCAAAACAGTCGCTCCTGCCCCTTTCATTCTGCCTTCTAATTTTTTTCTTTCTTTTTTTTTTTTTTTGTTTTCAAATGTGTTTATTTCACCAACAGTAAGAGGAATTAAAAGAAAGATGCATTATAATTTTTGCTAATTTCTCAAAATTTTGAAACCAATTGGATCTCAGGCACGGCATCTCCAGAAGTAAACACAGATCTCTGTACAGCTCTTCTCTTTCAAAAAGCATCATTTTCTAACAACATTTCCTAGAAAACAATTATAGCAACTGTTTCTTCAGATTGGTGTCAGAGGAATAAAATCTAAAGTAATAAATGGAGACGAAAAAGAAACTCAAAACTTTTTATCTGCTAAGTAGGTCATCTTTACGACAGTAGTTCCCCATGTTGTTTCCGGCCCTTCTTCTGTAAAATGGACTAAAATTTTGTCCAAGAATGTGATCACTACCTCAACACAAGAAGTTGATTTACTCTAAAAAGAGTAAATTATTCAGTATCTGCACACCATCTTCTTTCTTACAAGAAGAGTTATCGTCACCTCTGTCTGTGTTTTCCTGGGTGGCAGCGGTAGCAAGATTGGAAACAAGGAATACTAAATTTCAGAAAGCAATTTCCTTAGTTATTTCACCTAAAGGAGAGGGAATTATGAATAAATTATTACAGGAGGTAACTCTCCCATAGTTCTTAAGGTCATATTACACCACACAAATTCATAACCTAGTTCTCTAATGAGTCAATAGTGGAATCAGAAGAAACAAAAAATAAGAAGAGCTAACAACTGAGACTGCCTAGCCTTTGCACCTAGTGAAGAAGACAGTCGCTATTATTTCCCAAACATACATTTCTCGGCATTAAAGGATTCAGTCTCCTGCACATCCCAGGATTGTTACTGCCTGCAACAACCCTGCTTCTGCTCTGAACTCTCCTACTACACTTAAAGTGACCAGTATTCCTTGAGTAGTTTTCCACAATAGCCTTTCTTTTTAATAGCATGCATTACTTCATCTGTTTCAGAATATTGTTACCAATTAAATTATATGAAAACACATTTACTTACCAAAAGTAAACCATTTTTTAATCTAATAGCTACATAAATATTTTTGAGATTTAGAAATATGTAACATCTCTATGGGTTTACAAAACTTTTTTTGATAAAGCTTCATCTTTTAAAACATTCCTGAGGAACTGTGTAAACAGAAAGAATGTATGCCCTGGTTTCAGCTGGGATAAAGTTAATTTTCTTTCTAGTAGCAGGTGTAGTGCTGTGGTTTGGATTTAGGATGAGGACAATGTTGATAACACCCTAATGTTTTTAGTTGTTGCTCAGTAGTTGTAGCATCTACACAAGTCCAGGACTTTTCAGCTTCCCACGCCCTGCCAGGTACACCAGAAGCTGGGAGAGCACAGCCAGGACAGCTGACCCAGACTGGCCAAAGGGACATTCCCTGCCACAGAACGTCATGCTCCCTATAGAACTGGGGAAGCTAGCTGGGTGGTGGGATCGCTGCTCAGAAGCGGACTGGGCATCGGGGTTTTTTTACCTCACAGGTGGTAAGCAGTTGCATTTGTGCATCACTTGTTTTATTTATTCATATCATCATTATTACTAAAATTATTATTTTTACAATCTTCCTTTTTTATCCTATTAAATTGTCTTTATCTCAACTCATGAGGATTTTTTTTCCATTCTCCTGCCCATTCCCTTGGGGGAGAGAGGGGTGAACAAGCAGCTGCATGGTGCTCAGTTACTAGCTGGGGCTAAACCATGATGATGTAACGCAGCGGAGACATGAGTTTAGAAGTTATTCACCTGTAAGCAAGAGCTAATGCCCAGGCACATGCAGCACAGTAAAGACTGTCGTGTACTTTTGCCTTTCGGTTATCCCCATATGTCTTTGTAGGAAACAGACCTGTGGTTGGGCTTTGATGAAGCAGCAACGTTGACTTAACTGGAAAAAGAAAAAAAAGAAAAAAATGGTATTAATGACACTTATGTCCACATAGATTTTCAGGAATAAAACAAGATGTGACCAACTCGTTAGAGTATGGACAACACAAAACAGAAGAGAAAGAAAGAAATTTTTGTTACATTGGTTTCAGTCAAATTAGACCTTTTTACAAAAAAATCAATATTCAAAACTATTTATATGGCTCTGCTCTAGTACAACCCACTCCATATAGAATCTTTAAAATTAACCCAGTAATTTCCCTTTTATGAAAAAAAAAAGAAAGAAAAAGGGGGGGACACAACTACAGCATGACAGCTGCCCAAGAAATTTAAATAGTTAAACTCTGCAGAACTCTATATTCATAAAAAATTATTTTTTAACTTAGTCCAGATGATTGTATCAATATTTTTTTAAAAAGGAAGTAAGGAGAAAAGACTACTACAATTATTTAACTCAATACCTTAACATCAAAATAGAACAAGACAGGAATTTTCAAGTTGTGAAAACTGAGTTAGAAAAAATATTAAATATTATTTTCTTTTTTTTTTGTACTTTAATATTTTGCATTTTGAGAATTGTTTTCCTAAAATTGTATAATAACCAGCATGCTACAAGATTGAAACTGGGCTTAATGTCCTTGAACTTGACCCTTCTAACAATAACCTGTCCATTATAAGACAAGAAAGCAGGGGGGGTTTCCAGAATGTTATCAAGCATCAATTTTAAAAAGCCTCTTTATTGTCTATGTATTAGAAATTAAGTATTTTAAATTAAAGTTACAGGGGTTTATGGCTTTTTGCATTATATTCTTCAGTGACTTATAACAAGAACTTTGATAAAATGTTACCTGAAAAGTCAATATAGATTATTCTGAAATGAAGTATAATTTCAATAGTAAATTTTTACTGAGGCAGCAGACTGCTTGCAACATAAGTGCCTGACAGATAAATAGCAAGCACCATCACAGATTTGCTGCTGCCAAGCATTAAAAGTAAATGGAATGGTCATCTCCTCTGTAAGAAAGATAAAAGCAATGTATCTACAAAAAACAACGCATCTAGGGATAGACCAAGCACAACTCACTGATTTCACTTCAAAAAGTGATTTGAATGAAGGGAGTCTCATCCCACATCTTTAGAATCATGGAAAAATTGTTCACTATTCTGTACTATTGCTTAACTAAAACTTAAAATTTTAAACAGTCAATTGCACAGCCATTAAAAAAATCTGATTTTAGAATACAGGCAGGACTTTATAATACAAACACCCCAAACTCCAAAGCAATCAAAATAAACCATTGCTTCTTTTAACATGTATGTTTTCGGCTTAAAAAGATATAATAAAAAGAAAAAAACTAAAGTTGGCTAAAAATAAGTTAGCTAAAAGATAAAATTTCAGCACAAAAATACATTATGGCACCAATAATAAAAATTAACTACTCACTGATCACCCGTCAAACTGTTTTAAGCACTACAAGAAAGGTTTTTTCCCATTTAAATGTTTCCTCAGCTGTATCTGGCTAATGCCACAATACTAAGCTGCCACTTTATCCAAAATAATTCTAAATTCAGTCTTATGGCTGGACTGGATTTCCAACATACATTTTCAATTTCAGCAAGAAGTGTAATTCAGCCCTCTAGTTTTTGTGCCTCTCAAACTCCCAGCAGAAATTTAGGAAACTATCCTGAAGTAGGAATAACATAACAATGATATTTAACATGTAAATATCAATTCCAATTCACATCTGGATTAGTTCAAGCATCAATAACTGTCAGATTACCTTTACCCTTCCCCATCCAAAACCATCAGGTGCGACTCAGAATCTATTCTACCATTTGACAAATGCAGATGATCATTTTGAACACTATTTACAGGTCATGATTTTTCAAGCACTGTATGAGAGACCCAAATACATGCATTATATTATCACAGGAATCTTACAAGGAATTGTCATGATAGAACCCTTTACCTCTCAGAAAATAAAAATCCTTATTAAAGACTGCTGATAGTATTTTAAGACAGAGCTGATTACTGTCATAACCATAACTGTAAATGTTTTAGTAAGTTACAGTGAAAATCTTTCACAGTAGGAACAATTATTAACTTACCAATTCTGTAATAATGATCTAATTTATCCCACAGACTTCCCCCTTCTGGTTTTGGAAGGTTAATACTTTTAAGTGGCTCATAAATTGAACCTAAAAAAAAAGAAAGGAAAAAACAAAATCAAGATCACAATTAATTTCATAATTCTACTATTGTTAAAAATTACTGCAATATTATTTTTTCATGTTTGTTATACAACAGCACAATTTACCAAATTTCAATTCAAACAAAAAAGGTTGTAATTTCTATAATCTCAGAGAATATATTTCTATATACATTTTTCCTACGGTACTTGTCCACACAAACAATACCTTCACCTGGTTCTCCAATTCCTTGTAGATTTTCAGCTACAGCAAATGCTACATAAATGTATAGTTTAATTATTGAAGACAGCCTATTAAATGTTAGGAATTTTCTAGGAACATTGTCTTAGAAGTATGCTACAGACAGAATTCCTAGAGATATGTAGAAAAAGAGAGGGAAGAGGGACAAAAGTAGCCCAAATTTAACTATTACTTCCCTGCTTGCCTTCTAAAATGACGACCATGTGCAACATTGTTAGTGTTTTACCTATTTTACCCTTGTTTTCACTCACCACCACAATAAGCCTAGCTGATTTCATGCCTTGAATCAAAAAAGGTAGCTTGTTCGCACATAGTGCCAAAGCTTAAACAACCTACCCAACAAATAAACACCCCAAATTGCCTATATTCCTGAGAAACGCAATGCTATCAAATCCGTATCTCAGTGTCCCACATAATGACTGCTTCGCTATTTGCACCTGAAAAGTCCTTTTTCCCCGATAGCTGAAAAGAGCTACCTATCAGAAAGACACAATTTCTTAAAAATTACTGGGGTAAACCATTTCCAGCTTCTAATTTAAGAGTAACACACTGCTCTCCTTCCATAAATCACTTTGGCTTTATTCAGTGTTCTGGATGGCAAGATCTCCCACAGAGCCATTTGATAACAGGAAGAATGAGAATTTCCCCTTTCCGGGCTGCATGCTGTCCTCCTGAAAAAGCTCAGAGAAATAAATTGCCAGGGAAGCCCAGCCAGCCAAGCAGTTCTGGCAGGATGCAGCAGAGTGCTCCTATTCAAGTTGCCTCTTTCGCACTCCCAGCACATATCCAAGCATTAGACAGGAGATTGTCCATATATAGGACACTCATACAAGCAAAATGAATGTTTGTGAAGTGCTGACAGAAGCTTTATTAATCAAGTCCTTTGGTGCGGAGACTGGAAAATGTTTCTTGCCCCTCAAGAACTCAAGCCTCACTCCCCAAATTAGTATAACTTTTGCTTTGCAATCATAGTAGTCAAAAAAATCCACCCCGCCTGGAGCAGACTCCTGTGGGTCTGTTGTGCATGGATTCTCTGGTGACATTTAACAACACATCTGTGCTTCCCCTACAGCCTTTCCTTTCCTCATTGGGAGAGGTTAAGTTCCAAACACCACATGCACGTGGGGCAAGGGCCTGACAGGCAAGCACAGAGAGCCCAATGTATTTTAGTTGCCTAAAAAAACAAAGCTACAAGCAATGAAGTTGTTCTGTAACAGAAAAGAAAAATTTGTAATGTATCACATCTTTTGTATCTTCTGTTTAAAAATCAACATTCTGAACCCAATTTAAATCAATTTTTCAAAGCAATTTTATTTTTCTACTTCTTTTTGCCTAGGAATTCCTGTCCATTAGAACATTCTTAATTTATATTGTTATACTATTAATTCAGTTACCTTGCAAAAGCACACAATACAGCAACCTGCAGGAATTGTAACTTTATACGGTGATTCAGTGAAAGTAGGCCAGAATACGCATAGGGAAAAAATCTTCGGTAAGTAACTTATTGCATAAAAAGTAGCAAATTTATGAAAAATATTTACTTACTAGATTTTCAAAGGCAAAATAAAGATTCTTACACTTTGTTAAGATTTGTTAACTGTACAACACACACATAGTATACTGTCTTTTGTGTGTGAAAAAGGTTCAGAATGTCTATTTATTGCAGACTGTTGACCCCAGTACTGCACTATGAAAAACAGTTGAGTATTCACAGGCACAGACACTTACACACATAAGTCAGAAGTTTCTAAAACAAAAGTTTTCTCATTTACGTACTTACCAGACAATCTGTGACCCTCTGTGGCCAACAGAGAAACAAAATAAAGTTATCATGAAAAAAAAAAAGAAAAAAGCATAATTTTCTATTTCAGAGCATTCAAAGATTTCAACTTTGTACAGAAAGACGACCGAACAGAATAGAAAGCATGAAAATGTCGAAGTCCCACCATCAACAAACTATATTCTTTTTGATGTTTGAAACTTTACTAGCAGAAATAAATTAAAACAGCCAGAGTAGACCGCTGATGAAACAAAGTTCAAGAAAATTGACAAAAAGTGTATGTTTTGAAACTATTCCTTAGAGGTACTCCTGCTATAAGCAGAACTTGTTTAAAGGAATACTCAAACCCAAAGTTTTCCACACACTCTTCATTAATTCCTCATTAGCATCTATATAGTTTATGTTTTACTTGGGTATCTACAGCATTCTGCTGGACAAATCCTGTGATAAATTATGCTTCATTAGTACTACAACCCAATTAAAAGCAAGAAACAGATAGGACACACATGAAGCTAGCTGCTGTGTGGTTTTGTAGTGAGACCATAATCCAGAGCAAACTATTTTTAGGATAGCTAAAAAAAGCCCACCTATACTCTTTCCAAAATCTATTTAATAGTTCATTTCAGTAAGACAAAAACCTGCCACAGAAAGCTATTTTCAATTACATATTTAAAATAGGTTTTAAAACTGAAAAAAATGACAGCAGCAAGACTGCAACACTTAAACATAAAAGAACGACATATGCAAATAGGACCGTTAAGTTCCCAGTTTGTATGTTAGCATTCAGAACAAACAGAATGAGAACATTAATTTCAAAAACTATTTTTTCATAAATATCTCATTTCATTGTAGCCATACAGTGTGATTTTTATTTTAGGTAAATAAGTAGCTATGCAAGGAAGGAATATTTAAAAATACTTTGTTGATTTAGTATTTCTTCAGCTGTATACTGGTGTAACGACCCTATACAACATTTAAATAGGGTACATGGTAGTTCAGATTTTCTTCCACAAAGAATGAAGTATGCCCATTATTTCCTTACATCAGAAGTGGATTGCTGCAAGTCAGTAACTACTTCAAAATCACTCAAAAACCAAACAGATAGGATATCAAAGTGTTGCTTCCTGCACTAATATATTTAATGTCTGATAAGAAAACACTCAAAATCCTTATCCCAAGTCCAATTAAATCCCTGTTGGTCTTCATATATTGCACTAAATATACTATATCCATATTTTGAACCAAAAATTAATCCCCTTTAATCTCTGTAAACAGAGATATCAATTAGCAGTTTAGAACTAAAGTAATAAACAGAAGATATTTCTGACTTAGCTAAGACATGGAAACTATAAGAAAACATTATCCAGCTGATGAAACTCAAATGTACAATTCCAGGAAAAATTTACAAGTTAATTATCTCTTCTAAGCAAAGTACAAAACTGAAGGAAATTAAGGGAGGTTCTCTCCCTTTAATTTCCTACCACTTGCAGGTTCCAGAATAACATGATTTCACCATTCTTCAAGTTGAACAATTACTAAAAAGGATAGTCATTTCCTTTCAAAGTATTAAAGAACAGAAGAAATCTGAAACAGCCCAATAACTGTAAACAGAGATATCAATTCGCAGTTTAGAACTAAAGTAATAAACAGAAGATATTTCTGACTTAGCTAAGACATGGAAACTATAAGAAAACATTATCCAGCTGATGAAACTCAAATGTACAATTCCAGGAAAAATTTACAAGTTAATTATCTCTTCTAAGCAAAGTACAAAACTGAAGGAAATTAAGGGAGGTTCTCTGAGGTAAACTATTAGTAGTGTAAACACTTACGTATATACAACCTCTGGAGGCTGAGAATATTATGTCATCCTGATGGTAAAGTACTTTCCCAACCACTTCATTTTTATTCCAGTTATACTTGAGATTAGCATTAATTGCTCTTCAGGGAAGAGCTCTAAACTGCCTAGATGTTTAGATTTAAAAGGTATGGCCAACATTTTGAAACCCTGCTTCATAAATACGAAAGCTTTAAACACCTACACATCCTTGAAGATGGCAGCAATTGCAAATACTAAAGAAAAATACACATCAGAATGGAATTCTGGACCTAGTCTATGGATAAAGATTTGCATATTTCAACAAGGATTGACTATACAAATTTTTCAAAGTACAGACTTTTAAAAAAACTAACAATGAAGCGCACACCCCCTAAAGTTTAATCACAAACAAATGGAAGCAACATGGCAAGAATTTTATTTCCAACATTTCATGTGCCAGAAGAACAAAAGAAAATGTTTACTTCCATAATTAAATCAGCACAGATCAAACACAACAAAAAAAAGCTGAGAATACCAGATTTCTTTGTAGATTTGATGAGAATTAAAAATGACCACAGTCCTTTGATGCAACACTAGTTCTGGATGTAATCCAACACTTGAGACATGAACAAGTTCTGGATCTCAGATCACAGTAACTTTCATTATGCAATATTAGTATGAACCATACCATCTTCCCATTACACAGAAGTCACTGGGACCAAAGTGGACTTTATTTCTTCACACAGCAAAGTTTAAGAAATGGTATCATATGAACAAATCCTATCCTCCCAACATCACTTCTCCTGCAATCTCTCCTGAGCACAAGACTTAATACAGTACTGGAGAGAAACACTGTTGGATACAATACAGTTTATTCTAATAGTTGTCTGCCATGAAATATATTTGCTTTTAAGTCCAAACCCATGAAGTTGAGCAAGGTGATATCAGAAAATAATTTTCAGAATCACTTCCACTAGAAAGAAAATTCACTTCTCACATATGTAAATATCTGAACTCTGATTCCATGAACTTAACGTGTACCAAGTGTGCTGATGCTGGTGGGGTTTTTTAATCCCTAAATACAGGGGGAAACTATGATCTCGTAGCTGACCCTGCTGTGACCAAGAGGCTGGAGTAGATGATCTCCTGACATCCCTTCCAAACCGAACTGTTCTACAATTCAATGAAACCATGGTAAGGAAACTCCAGGGGAGGGGCTAGGGAAGGAAAAAGGCATTAAGGTCCTCTATCTGAATAATCATTAGGAGTAAACACAAGGTACAAAGTGTTGCCTAGGTTGAGTGATGATAACAACACAAGTAAAAATGAGTAAAATCTTGTAATAGTTTCATTTAAATAGTTTTAAAGTGACAAAACTTTTCAACTATCATTTATTAAAAAAAAAAGTATTAGACTGTGCATATAATTCAATTAGAATTTCATGGAAAAAGAAAAAATATGTACCAATTTATTCTGTCCTTTCTCTATTTCCTAATCATCTGAAGTGATTTCTCTCTACAGTATATTATACTTAATGGAAATTACTGATTTCAAGATCACACAGAAGTTACTGAACACCAAAAATAAAAAATTGACCCTCATGCCAGCACATAGGAGCTTCACATAACCAAAATACGCAAGTCTACCACACAGGCCTTGTAAATGCTACAAACAAGACAGGAAAACATTCAGGATATTCAAGGCAATCATTGCTATTTCTGAGAACTCAGAACAATAGTTCTTAAAACTAGTACAAATATTTATTTTGCATCGTAACAGAAACTTCAAGTATCAATATAGTAATTAGGAAAGATCCATTTTTTTATTACAACATCAACACTTCACGTGTCCTTTGACATGAAGGGAGGCAAAACAGAAATGCCACAGGCAGGGCAGGGCAGTTCAAGTGACTCAGTTGTGGCAAGAGACAGCTGAAATTCCCTTACCTGATTACTCTCACTAGCACTTGCAGTGCTTCTGGGTTTCAACACAGACTAAACAAGAGCCCTATAAAGTCTTCCCCACATCAGATAGCTTCACACATGGACACATGTGTTTTTTTCAAAACATATTGAGCGAAATCAGCAACGGTCTTGACAACTTCATATATTCTAGCTTCTGTTGTGCCTAAAGAGAAGTTGTACTAGGGGGCTTTATTTTGCTTCCACTTAATTTCCAAAAGTCAAGCTTTGGCACAATTGATGACTTATTGGAAATTTCACTTCTTTTCTCTAAACCAGTCATGTTGGGGTTTTTTTAGGAGTTAAACCTATACACCATTCTTAGTGCACTTTTCACATGACCATCATCTGAAAAGAGACATTTCAGTTCAGAGATAGGTACAGTGAGAGATACTTACAAGAACACAAAACAGAGACAAAATAGGGAGATCTGAGCAGTTGATTTCAACCTAAGTAGATTCCAATTTTCATAAATTTTCACTGAAAGAGCTCAAATTTTTAAATTTACTGTACAGCACTAAAAAATTGCTAGCATAAACCACTGCTTGAAACATAAAACACACAATTTTTTTTTCAAGTTAAATAGCCACAAAAACAAAATACGGAACTGCACACTTACCAAATTTTAAAAAAGCATGCGCAGAGGAGGCTCTGTCATCATCCAAATTGGCCATTTCAAATTGGTGCAGCTAATCACAAACGTCTCAGGCTAAGCTACAGCAATTTTCAAAACTGTTTAGTAAATGTTAAAGGCAACCAGCATTAAATTAATTGAAAGCAATGTTAGTGGAGTTATTAAAATGACAGTGCACAGCACAAAGAGTAGTAAAGTTTCATTACATATTATGTTTCCCTCTTCTACCCTAAAAATTGGTATTATTTTGCTTTTACTTCCATAAAACTTATCTGGGTAAAATAACACAGCCTACACAAGGTTCATCTTTGGACCATCCATGAGACAGTAGCTTTGTTATTCAATAGAAAATTTGCTACTACCATCAGAAGGCACTAAATAAAATCTATTTGATATATTTCTGTATTAAATAAAAATACTGATTTAACTAGTGCATATAAAAGTGTTAAGTAACAGTAAGCACGGGGAGCTAAAATTCTGCTTATGCATAGTGCTGCTTTTATCTCATGTGGAATTTACACTAGGATCTTTCTTGCAGTGATATACATTGCTTATGGTACTGAATATCTCATTTATTTGAAAGATAATATCTTCCAGTTTCAAATGTAAAATAAGAAAATACTGTTTGTAACTAGGTGATAAGTTTTTCTAAATCTTTAAAGAAGATTATGGTTTTTTAAAGTAACCAAAGTTTCAGGGGTTGCAGACTGGCCAACTACTGATTAACTTTATAATCTGCTCCTAACTGTTAATTATCACAGTAGCAATGAATGAAACAATATTTTATTGCTCAAGGAAGGGAAAGAAAAAAATTCTCAAAAAAATTTCTTTTTACCAGCAAAAATGTAATTCATAATTTAATATGCATAAGCATGAAGACAGGGATTACCTCCTACAGGACAGGGTCTGAAATGATACTTTGCTGTCAGCTATAAAACATGAATGACATGAAATGTGCATTTCACGCCCATGTTTACTATATGTTACTCCAAGCATCATACTAAAAAAATAAAACCCCAAAACAAACAGCACTGTTTGTAAACTGGGACTCTGGAGCATAGACCACAGCCACTTCTGAACAGTACAGCGGAGGTTTCAGCCACTTTCGATGACTACACCAACCATGTCTCTTTCTGACAGTGCCAGAAAGGAAGTATAACAGCTCTTAAGTTATACAATTTTCAACATACTTATAAAGATGCAGGAGTAAATTTGAGAAACAAGAACATGATTTTCATTTTTAGGTAACAATGTTAGCTGAATCATCTTTATTTCTTTATCATCTTTGTTTCTTCAGTAAATAAATTTCTTCAGTCACTATATAAATGACAAAATCTCTATGAACAGGAAAAGGAGGACGCGAACTCCAATAATATTCTGTCATCACAGAAGACACTTGCTTATAGGTTTAACGAAAAAGTAGAAGGCAGCAGCAGTTAAGAAAAACTCAAGCATTTAAAATCATCCAAATGCCTTCTACAGCCACAGGGCCTGGTTCTGAACAGGAATCCCAAAGTTAGCATGCTGCCTCGTGACTCAGGGTTCACATACCCCGAACACGCGGGTTCCAGGCTCTATTTTGTAGAGCTCTGTGGCTACATTTGTAAATCAATTTTCAGATAACAGTAGCCTGTAATCATAACTAGCCACAAAGTAACAACTGATTTACTGGACAGTCTCAATCATGGTATTTTCCATAAGTAGAATTTTAAAAGTCATATGAATCAGATCAGACTTTAATCAATCAATTCTTTTTATGGGAGCTCTCATAAAGCCCCATTTTCTTTTCACACTGTTTGATCAGTCATTACCACAATAGAACCAATCAAATACGCAAATAAGGAAATAATGATTGAATTTTACAAGTACGCATGACACATAAATAAACACCACAGGGATCATTTGGAAAACTGTTTCCCTTAGAACTTTAACACCTAAAGCCCTACCAAGACTGTATTTTATTTTTGAAAACTAATTAAAAAATCGGGGTTTTTGAACTTTGGAAATTCAAGTCAACTTGGTAATCAATTTTTCATTTAAGCCAGAACACTGCTGCCAGGCAGTCTACATTCAGAACAAGAACTTCTCACGTTAAAAAAAAATTACCCAAGGGAAACCTGGCAAAAGCTGGTACTTTTGTGTAAGTGCCCGCAATTTTAAAATACTTCATCTGCTCGACAGCTTTAAAACAGCGCACGCAGCAACACTACCAGGAGCAGCTCCCTGTACACCCCTGCTGCCCGGTGACACCTGTACTCCATCTGAAACCGCCTCGCCA